TCCTTTTTTTTGTACTGAGTACAGTATAATTTTTTTTGTACCTAGTTCTTTTTTGGGGTGTAGTGCTTGAGACAGGGTCTCCTTATGTAGCCCAGGCTGGCCTTGAACTTGGGGCAGTCTTCCCATCTCAGCTTCCGAAGTGCTGGGCTTATAGGTGTACACCACCATGCCTGACCTCTCTGCTTTGCTCTTGTTGCCTATGATTGTGTTTGCTATTCTGGGCTTCTTCTGGTTCCATATAAATTTTAGGATTTTTTTTTTTATATTTCTGTGAGGAATGCTATTGATATTTTGATTGAGATTACATTAAATCTATACATCAGTTTTGGGAGTATGGCCATTTTGACAATATTGTTTCTTTCTCTCCAGGAACAGGGGACATCTTTTCTCTTTCACTCTTTCTTTCTTTCTATCCTTCTTTCTTTCTTTCTTTCTTTCTCTCAAGGCTAGTCTGAACTACATAGCAAGACCGTCTCAAAAAGAAAAAAAAAGTGTAAGTTTCAATAAATAGGCTTAGAGGTTCAAGAAGAACTGAACTATATATATTTACAGCACTTTGATCCATATAATTTCAGAGTTGAACTTTTCTTAGTGATTTGAATCTTTTATATTATCTATCTATCCATTTTTGTACCACTGGGGATTAAACCCAGGACTTTTGCATTGACCTACATCCCCAACCCTTTTGAAAAAGTTTTTGAGCCAAGGTCTTGCCATGTCCCTAAGTTCCTCAGGCTAGGCTTGAACTTGTAGACCCCATGTCTCAGCCTCTCAGAGTGCTAAGGTGACAGGCTTACACCACCCTCCATGGCTCTCTCCTGCTTTTAAGTCCTGCCCCGTTTCCTCAGCCCTTCAGCTGGCATCTCACCTCGGCCCTTGTGTCTAAGCTCTCGGAATGGCCTGATTTCTTCTTTTGCATCCTTCCCAACCATTCAGTTGAAACTTCCATTATCTAGGGCTACAGGGACCATGGGTAAGACAGTTTTGAAGTCATTTTCTCTCTTAGTATTCCAGAATTTCAGCTGAATTGGAACTACTTTCTTACTTCCATCGGGAGTTTTATTATTGAGTTTTCCTTGCATTTTTCTCCCTCAGCTCTTCCTCTTAGGTTAGTGATAGAGCAGGGCATACTTCAAGTCCTTTCCCTCTCCTTCTAGATTTCTTGTCCTAGGAGTCCATCTTTTCTCTGATATCCAACCCCATTTTCATATCCACAGTGCTTCAGCCCTTCAACTAATTTCTAGGTTTCTTGTTTGAATTATTAGCCGCTTCATAGCTTACCCCGAGCGTCACTCAGGCAGTGAGTTTGTTTACATACTGACTATCCAGAGCTGTCATTTCCACCAGTGGATTCTTATTCACGCGAGATACACCTGTACATCTTTTTACTTGTTGTTGAGTTTTTTTGATTGTTTGTTTTTGTTTGTTTAGACAGGGTCTCCCTATGTAGTTTGGGCTGGCCTCCATCCCTCTGCCTTTTCCTCCTGAGAAGTGAGGAAAAAATATTATTATAAAATATGTATGCATGTTCTGGACTAAACAGTATGGAACTTGTTTGTTCTTTATCCAAAAGGGAGTTCAAAATCATTTACAGTTTAGATTAGCTCGGATAGACCAAATAATTGAAAAATACAGGATAGTGAAACGCTAACTGGGACATCCATCCAGTTTAGTGGGTAGACGTTTTATTGAAATTATACCACTCAGAAAAAAATGAAAGCCCAGCACAACAGTGTAAAGTGTGTTGCTCAAGGAAAGACAGTAATGCAAAAGGAATTCAGAAAGAACTAGATGCTTCTGTCCAGATTATCATGTTATGTTGTGTATTGAATGTTGAAGATCTACCATACACAGAAAAATTATTGAATAAATTTGATAAAGTTGTCATTTTTATATTTCCTGTTATCTCATAAAAAATAAAAAATACAAATTTTGGTCATCTTGTACTTAAATAATTGGACTGGTGAGTGATTAAAATAGTTTTTTCACTGTTGTGCTTCTGTCTCCTTCTAGTCTGCTCTTCACACTTTTACCGAAGTAAACATCCCACATACTCCCTCAGTCATATCACTGTCTTACTTTAAATGTTTTGATGAGCCAGGTGTGGTGGTGTGCACCCATTACCCTAGCTGCTTGGCAGCCTGAGGCAGGAGGATTGATGGATCACTCAAAGCCTGGGAGTTCCAGGCCAGCCTGAGCAGCACAGGGAGACTCTGTTTAAAAAAAAAAATAATAATGAATTCCACTTGCCTGCACATTATAAACCAAACTTAATATGACATTTGAAGCCGTTCAAAGTCTGGTGCCAACCTACCTTTCCATTTTTCACTCAAGATTTTGTTCAGCCATGTCAGATTCACTTCCTTAACACATGTTCATCCATTTATCCCTCCCTTCCTCCCTCCCCTGCCTTGCCTTTTTCCCCCTCCTTTTTTATCTTTCTTTTGGTTGAACCCAGGTTCTCACACAGCCAGATCCCCAGCCGTTCTATGTTATATACTGAGACGTGGTCTGTCTAAGTTGCCTAGCTGGCCTTGAACTTGCAATCTCTTGCCTCAGCTCCCCAGAGTGCTGTTATTAGTGTGTCATCATGTGTGGCTACCTATTGTACCTTCTTCCCTCTTTACATTGTCCATCCTGTTGTAGTTGCCTAAAATTTGTTTCCTATTGTAATTCTTTTTTGGGGGGTGGGGTTGCTGAAGATTGATCCCAGTATCATTTTGAGATAGGATCTTAGTAAGTTGCCTGAGGCTGGGCTCAGCTTGTGTTCTTCCTGCCTCAGCTTCCCAAGAGGCTGAGGTTATAGGCAAGCACCACCAAACCTGACTTCTGTTGTAATTCTATCATCCTTCAAGGCCTAATTTTTTTTGTCATCTTCATTAAAATATTATCAAGTTCAATTGTGATAATTTTTGTATTTAGTAAAGATGATAACCCTGGGCCGGGGATTTAGCTCAGTGGTTTTGCCACCTGCTGCGCAAGTGCAAGGACCCAAGTTCGATCCCCGGTACTTCCTCCACAAAAAGATGATAACCCCAAAAGCCCTGTAGCTCAAAAATGCTTTGCATTATATTTAGCAATCTTTTCCTCTGATTACATAAATCCCAGTTTCTTCTCTTCTAATTAAATAAGTTTTGTCATTCTTTTGCTTCCTTCGTTAAGAAAGTAAATAAAACTTTAATATATGTTTAGCCCCCAAAATATTATCAAATTATTTATTTTAATAAAAATAGGGCTAGGGATTTAGCTCAGTGGTTTCGCCGCCTGCTGCGCAATCACAAGGACCTGAGTTCGATCCCTGGTACCAAAAAAATGAAACTTATTTTAATAAAAATATTCTTTACCATGTACAGGTGCAAATTCACTATAATGAGTGTTAGCCTGTGTATGCCTAAAATGTACCAGTAAATGTTTTGCTATTTTAAAAAATTATTTGATTGTTAAAGACTCATTTTTACTTTTTCTTTCAAAAGGTTAAACAGATAAATATTGAGTAAAATAATGTATTCATGTGATACAACATTTTATAAATTCACCAAAATTAAGCAGTTCTGGGCCGGGGATTTAGCTCAGTGGTTTCGCCGCCTGCTGCGCAAGCTCAAGGACACGAGTTCAGTCACCAGTACCAAAAAAAAAAAAAAAAATGCCTCAAAGTTAAGCAGTTCTAGTCTTTGACAGGACTATTATGCAAATGAAAAGACAAATCACATATTAGAAAAAAAAGCAAAATAGCCAAGTGTGGTGATACACACCTGTAATCCCAGCACTTGGGAAGGTGAGGCAGGGGGATTGCTGTGAGTTCAAGACCAGCCTGGGTCATGGCCACACTGCACTACATAGTGAGATCTGTCTCCAAGAAGAAATTTTTTTTTTGTTTTGCAAAGCACATCTGACAAAGGACTTGTATCCTCAATCTGTAAATAATCTCACACTTCAATAAAAAGAAACCAAACAGGGCCAAGGATTTATCTCAGTTGCACAAGGACCTGAGTTCGATCCCCGGTACCAAAAAAAAAGAAAGCAAACAACCCAATAAAAATGAGCAAACGATTTGAATAGCTATTTTGTCAAAGGAGAGCTACAGATGGCAAATAAGCATATTAAGATTTGCTTGGCATTTTGGGAAATGCAAGTTAAAACCACTGTGAGATACCACTGCACACCAGTTAGGATGGTTAAAACTAGCCAGAGAGACATGCAGGTGATGGCATATGAAGAATAGCATGTGCAAAGTCTTGAGCTAGAAAGAAAATGTGTGGTAGAAGAAGTCCCAGTGTGCCCATTGTGCAGAGTGCCAGACCATGGAAAGTCTGGTAAAAGTGTTTGGACTTTATCCACCTTTCCACCCTCTTAAGTGTTAGAATCATGCGTTACTCACGTTCTGCTTTATTCTCGGTGTCAGGGACATACTCAGTACACAATAACTTGAATTCTGAACATGTGAGTTACGTCTATAATAGGTAAGGTACAAGTTGCTACCACCTTTGAATGAAGTTTGAATAAAATAGCCAATATATGAAGAGGTTGGGACTGTAGGTTATTTAGTGTTTCCTTATAGTCTTTCTAATGTATTTGTATCCGTATACTATGATAAAATGTATACACTGTGAAAGCACTTAATGTCTTCAATGTACACAGTTGTGTATGGATCATAAATGCTGCGTTTTATAGGTGGGGGTACTGGACATTAAACCCAGAACCTTGCACGTACTGGGCAAGTGCTCTAACACCAAGCCCTAAGCCCCCACCTCCCCAAGCCCATCGGCAACTTTTTAAAAAAATGTAAGTAGAAAAAAAAGAACAAAAATAAAATTAACAAAAACATCAGATGTTTTAAAAACTGTGGTTTTAGAGATTCTTTTTCTCTAATTTCGTAATAGAAATTAAAATGGTTTTCTAGTGTGACAGTAATACACATACTTCTCTCATTTAGTTCATGAACTAGAGTGTGCCGAATCTTTTGCTGTTTCATTTATTATTCTTGCTTGGCTTTCTTTTAGCCTCGAGCTGTGGCAGGCTTTCGAGGGACAGTTCGCTATGCATCAGTTAATGCTCATAGAAACAGGGTAAGTGTCAGAGCACATCTGTGTAAGTGCTTACAGCTTGAGTCACATTACCCTCTTCACATTGAAGACATTCCTTGTTTAACAACCAACCTGGTTAACAACTGTTTGGATTTATGACCTGCCACTTGGAATTATGACATGTTTCTTTTTTTTACAGTTCTGTACATCTTGTTGATAGAACTTCAGTGTCTTTTTCTTTTCATACAGTACACCTTTTTTATACAGTATGTGATTTTTTTTGCTGATTGCACTGTACAGTACAGTGCTGTAGTTTTATGTTCTATTATACATTACAATACTGCATGTAATAGTTATGTGCATAACTGGGCTGGGGATTTAGCTCAGTGGCACCGCGCCTGCCTCGCAAGTGCAAGGTCCTGAGTTCGATCCCCAGTACCCCCCCCCAAATGCTATGCAAATAAAAGCAAAGTCATCAAGTTTGAGTTTCCTTTGACCATTTCATTGTTCTGAATATTGTAATGTACATACTATATACTATATACAGTTCCTTGTTTAAAGACCAATTCAATCAGTGACCTAGCACAGGACTATAACATGGTTGTTAAATGAGGAGTGTCTACAATACAGGAGGTGGAAATGACCACTGAGCAGAGGATCTCTTTAATAGTTATGAAGTTTTTTTTTCAGGTGGCATTGATATTGAAAGAGTTAATACTAATGCATAGTAGGATTATAGTGGGTAACAGATACATGTCGCTGCTTACAAAATAAAATTTGATTTTCCAGGAAAGATAATAGCTAAGTATAATTATATTTATAAAGAATATGTGTCTTGGGCCGGGGATTTAGCTCAGTGGTTCCACTGCTTGCCTCACAAGCACAAGGTCCCGAGTTCAATCCCTGGTACCAAAAAAAAAAAAAAGAATATGTCTTTAATTAGGTGTATGTATTAACAAAAATTTTTTTTGAGACAGAGTCTTGCTTTTGCTTCTGTCATCGCTGCAGGAAATGGCCACCCAGAAGAATTTGAAGCTAATTTCTGGGCTTGGCTTCCACACCACACAGATTTAATTCCCAAATCCAATTAAAGGAAAGGCTGTGCCAGCAAATTCTCAGAGCAGAAAAATTTTTTAACCACTCATTTTGTCCTCTTCATAGCAGTTAAATTGTATAGAAAATACTGCAGTGTCCCAAGTAGCTGGGATTACAGACATGTGCCACTATACCCAGCTATAGTTTCCCTTCTTTTATTTTCCCCCCAATACCAGGAAGTGAATTTAGGACCTTGCACTTGCCCAGCAGGTTAGGCACCACTAAGCTAAATCCCTGGCCCTCCCTTGCTTCTTAATGAACTCATTGATTAATAAGTTGTTAATTATATAATAATTTCAAGCATTTCTGAGTTTTAGGGTGTTCTTTATATCAAGTTGAGATATAGCCATATAGAGTGCTGTATACCTGTGCAGATATATAGATATGTTTAACAGATAAATCTTATGGGAAATATATTTAAGCTTTCAAGCCTAGTAAGATGAAACAAAATGATTAGGTCTTAAACAATGTGATATGCTCAGAAGAACTGGGAATGTAATGTGGCTGAATTCTGTTTTGTTTATGAAGGAAATGGGAAGACATGATGACCTTTGGTCTTTATTCTACATGTTAGTGGAATTTGTGGTTGGTCAGCTGCCTTGGAGGAAAATAAAGGACAAGGTAATTTTGGAAACAGTTGTCAGTTTTGGTATGGGAAAGGATAAAAATTTCTCCTTAATATCTTTTTAAAAAATA